GCAGACGTGCCATTAATCATCCTGTTGGCGTAATTAACATTATCAGCACACATTTTAAAAATGAATAATAAAAGCATTTAGAATATCGTGATTTCTAATTTGCTCATGGATCTTTAGCAGATCCTGCTTTAAATAGATTTATTATTTGGTCTTGTACAGTTTTCCAATTGTAGGGCTGCTAATCTGCATTAGGCATTTTGCCTTTCACCAACTCAAAAAACCCACAGGATGTGCCTGTTCATTAAAGGTTCCATTATAGAAGCAGGGGAATCTTAAGTTTTGCTTCTGCATATATTTTGATATGTTGCTGGCTGAAGCTTAGCAGGTATGGGACTGTTTGGTGCCTGACTTCCACAAAGCGCTTGGGTCCCATGGTAAAATAAAGGGTATAAATGTAGGAAGGTAAATAATAATTTTGCATGCCTTTTAGATAGCAGAGTTTCCTTAACAGATTTCTAATATGCAGAAGAGGAAAACTATGGTCACCCTGATGGAGAGGTTTTCAGGCACTATACTGGGGGAACCCAGCAGGATAGTTAGTAGTGCATTGCCAAAAAGGAGGGTTTTGAAAACCAAAAAAGACTTGGACTGGGCAGCCCTCAAATAGAGGACACCTTCACACCCTCTTGATGGCCCATCTAAACAGAGGATTGGATAAAGTAGGGCACGTGGCCAATCTACAGCTCATCTGTTTCTTGGAAACTTCCCAGAGGTTCCAAAATGAGAACATTAGTCATGGTGGCCAGGTTCCTTGCCAGACCCTACCATGCCTAACACACCCAATATGTTTCTGACAGTGGACAGCTCCAGCCAGCACACTCAGCTAACAGAAGGCAATAGGCCTGAAATGATTGCGTGCCCTAGAACATGCCTCAGTGTCATCTGTGATTAAAAAGTGATTCCTCAGCGGACAAATATATGTGGAAATGGCTTTCTGAAGGCAGAAAATATGAAAACCACAGTTTTAAAATCCTTGGGTCAAACTTGACATCATACCATTAATTCTTAACCTTCCAAACAACAGAAGGTGATATAATCTGATAACCACACACACACACACACACACACACACACACACACACAGATAGATACATGTTGTGATCAAATGAATATGTTAAGAACAATTTGAAGGAATTGAGATTAGTTAAATTACTTAAAGGCCTCTATTCTGAGCAAAACTTCTCACTGTTCAAAGTTTAGTCAGGTTCTCACATGGTTTTAATGAGTGATGCCTAGGGCACTTTTCCCCAGAAGTAGCTGAAGGCAGGATTCCCTTTGTTGAACTCTGGTCTCTGGACCTGTTTGGGGAACTTCTTAAATCAATGGAGAAGATCTCAGTTACTTCAAAGAGATTTGACTCAGGTACTCAGGAGTGTAGGCTTTATATAATAAATAGCAAATTTACCTAAAGCCATTCAGTATTTCTCAGAGTTTGGCAAGTCTGTTAAACCTTTTTCCTGCAGGACTGGCTAAGCCTAATCAAGACAACTGACACTATCTAAAGCTCACTGAATATGCCCCCTAGCAGGCTTTTAAAGAGCTGCGCTACCTAAATAGGAATGAGAAAGATTGATGTCAAAGCAAGCTAAAACCTCTGGGTTGGTAGTCCCTCAAGGTTAGGTACTAGTTATAATTTTGTCAAAATGAGAATATAATGCTTCTGTTTCTGTGACATCATATTGGCATCTTGGGGAGGAAAGGCAGGATACAAATTCAGTAATAAATAAATCATAACATTTCTGTGTTTTCACACACAGGGGCATCCATGGGTCTATGGAGCACAACTAGAACAAAGAGAAAACTGTGAGCCTGATCTTACATGTCTCCAGAGCCCTCGTACATCCTTGCACAACCTTCCCAGACCTTGGAGAGCAAGAAGAGAGATGGGTGGGTTTAAAAGCTCTTTCCGTGCTGGGTTTTCCTGACACAGAAAGAGTTTTTAAGTCCACCATCTTGCTTACTAGCCTCTAGAAAGGTTATACGAGGGCTCTGGAAGATCCTGCAAGGCTTCCATAATCTTGCCCATTTAGCATACTGGTGTCAGACAGGTAGGGATGGTTGAGCAGGGAAGGTTGTGGTTCTGAGGGTCTTCCTGACTTTGCATGATTTAGCTTTTGCATGCAGACCCCCAAAATGTGACCCCCTCACAAGTTTCAGGTCTACTGTATAAGTTGCACAGTCATAGGCTCTGTATGGAGGTCCAGCTGATTGTGTAGCAGTCAGTAGCTGCCAGGATCCCAGTCCCTTCTTTTTGCATTCAGTGTATCTGCTTTGCTGTGATGACATTCAGTTCTATTTTTCTATAGCTTTTGGATCAGGTCTGGCTGTGCAAGAGGTGTTATCACATTGCAGCCAGGCAAATACATTCGAAGAAAGCACAGAGCAGGGCTAGAGAGGCCTAGAGGGCTGTACTTGGCTCATGGGCCAGGGGTTCCACACCCTTTTCCTGAGCCTTAAATTTACCCAGGAAAATGACTGTTGAAAGCAGTGCTGCTTCACACAGATGCCTTATGCATTACATGCATTTTGCAAAGAAGGCTACCACCGAGATTTTAAGACTGACATCTTATCTTCCCAAAGCACACAAGCTACTGAAGGCAGAGGATGCAATTTACCTTCTACTGAGACTATTTATGTGCTTTTTAATTGGCTCAAAGTAGTTTTGTACAAGCAACCATTAAATCATTGTTGAAGAGAATGAGCATACTTGATGGGCAAGAACATCTGTGTTGGTAATTTCTAAATAAATAAATCACATCTACTTAACTGCTTGAAACACAATATGAAAGCACCATGTATGAATAGGCCAGTGACTGTATTAACGATCTCCAATTGTTTATAATCCTGATGATTAAGTAAGCATAGTTTTGGAGAGAGATTTAAAGAGACTTCTTATATTCTAGTCACCTCATGAAAAGTGCAGGCAACTTCCCTGCATATTGGGTGCTAATCTTGATGAAGCATTCCACGGAGACCAATTTCCAACATAGATCTAAAATACCATTGGGAACATTTGATGCAGCTTGTGCCCAATTCAGACACTGAAAAATCATCCGTATTGATAATTTCCATGAGTACATCTTGGTGAGTAAAAATGGGAAGCTCATTATCATGCATCTGATAGGGGCTGTACCCACAGATCAGGCAAGATGATTTTATTATTCTAAGACCTCTGTGCTGGATTGGGGCCCTGCTGTTTCAATACAAGTACTGGCCGTCCATCTGTCTGCTTGGATAGCAAAATCCTGAAAATTCGAGAATGCCAGCTTTATAATTACACTAGCCTGAAACAAAAGACACAACCAATGTGTTACAATGCTATTCTGTCCTGGTATAACTCACAGCTTTTGTCATCTACATTAGCATATGTTGAAATTGGGGTGCTGTTTCTTAATGTTGATTTAGATCCAAAGAAATGTGTGTCTACTTCTGGCTTTTGTGTTTCTCGAAGTGCATCATCTCATGCATGCCACACAGCAATTTGCTTTGGAAACTGAGGAAATATTCTGATTCTGACATATCGGCTAAAAGAAAAAGTCAGACACCCTGCCCAAACCCTTGAACCAGCTCTTTCTATCCCAGCTTGCTTGCTTTTAAACAGCAGTTCAGAATGAAAGCTGTGAATGTGAAAGAATTGTCAACAGTGCATTTCCACACACGCATCTGATAGCAAGCCCCATTGGAATTAGTGGGACTATCTTCTGAGTAGACAGGTCCAGGATCATGCTATAAGGCTGCAATCCTTTGCACACTTACCTGGGAGTAAGCATCTTTGAACTAGTGCGACTTAGGTTAACTAGACATGTATAGGATTGCACATTGGTTTCAGTGTGTTTACGTGTAGTTAACTCTGTTGGATAGTGGCATTTTATGCAATCAAATATTATGCAATGTTTAAAAAATAAATGTGAAATCGTTCTTAAATATTGTGTGGCATTGTAAAATACTCCAAAACAAAGAAATAGGAAAATTTGCAAAGGCTGTATATAATGTAGAGATGTAATGCTTAACTCGGCTATCACAACCATAAACCACTTCAGGCAGATATTTCTTTTTCACATGGGTACATACCATTATTTGAGTGCCTGTATTGATTTGGTCCCATTTTTCAAAAAGTTTGGCTGTCTTCTTTTATTGCTTTTTGCAAACATCTTCCATCTCAACAAGCTCTCACGTGCTACTGAATTCAGCTTTATTCAATAAGCCCCTAATTTGAGCACCACTGTTCCAGTTTTTGGAATATTAGGTTGTACATTCATTGCCAAAGTCATATATTTCTGATTTATACCACCAGTCTATAGGGAATGGTTAAAAGTCTTCTTTAAAAATGTGGGGGGGGGGTTTAGTCTATAGGGGAAGCTAAAATATATACAGTTATTCATATGACATAATTTATGAGGGACGTTATCAACCAATAAGGGCCGGAATGAATACTGAGGCATCACTTTATGTCCTATATTTTTAGTAGTGTGGCATTCAAATTTAAGTTTAGGCTGCAGATTTCTGCATTTTATGCCAACGCTTCCAATTTCTGAGAAAGAAATCATGTCCTGGATACTTTGCTTACCGGGGCAGCTAATTTAAATAGGCTTGTAACTTCCTTTGAATCAAGGGAGATGTGGAATGTTAATTTTCTGTTGAATTATTTATAATAAATTAACAATAATTTATTTCCTCTGTGATGCGCATCTGCAGAACTGGCATTCTTGCTGTGTCCCTGCTAGGGATGCAAGTGTACCAAAAGGAAATGCTCAAGAGTTTTAGCACATCAAGAGAAAATGATCTTTCCGACTCTACAATTTCAGTCTGGTGCTTCATAGGCTCATTTGTCAAGGCTGAATGTATGGGAATTTATTGCCTTTTAAAATGGATTGGATACATTCCGCTCTGTTGTACACTTGAACACTAAATACAGCAAAGTTATCAAATGATTCTGACAAGTTCTTTGAGAAGTGTAAGATTTTGTACTATCCAAGCAATTTTTGGATCATTGCTCAAAAGCCAAACTCAGGATGGCTGAGTCAGTAAAGCACAAGACTTTTAATCTCAGGGTTGTGAGTTCAAACCCCACAATGGGCAAAAGATTCCTCCATTGCATGGGGTTGGACTAGATGACCCTCAGGACCACTTCCAACTCTACAATTCTATGTTTCTTTATAAACATAATCACTATGATCCAGTAGATCCTTCAGCAAGCAGGGTATCCTGTGTGCAAACAGAGCCATCATGTTTCATTAAATTACTTCTTAATTCATATAATTTAGTTCAGAATCATGTTAAGGTTTCTGAGCTACCTGTCATGGATGGGCTGGCCGAAGAGGAGTGGTGAGAGGCACCAGCCGGGGAACCCCCAAGGGAGGAAGGCTCAGAGCCAGGAGATTGGTGTGGGACACTGAGGAGAGATCAGAGGCATAATATTATGATGGCTGACTGGGAACAGTTATGGACCACAGGTATGAAGTTTACGGCATGTAATGCCTTAAGAGAGAATATAATGAAAATGATCTACAGGTGGTACATGACACCAGTCAAGCTTGCAAAAATATATCACTTGCCCGATAATAAATGTTGGAAATGTAAAGAGACTGAAGGTACATTTTTCACCTTTGGTGGACGTGCCCAAGGATTAAGACATTCTGGGAGATGATTTATAATGAAATGAAAAAGGTATTTAAATATACCTTCCTGAAGAAACCAGAGACCTTTCTCCTGGGCATGGTCGGCCAATTGGTGCCAAAAAAGGATAGAACTCTCTTTATGTATGCCACAACAGCAGCAAGAATACTCATCGCGAAGTATTGGAAGACACAAGATCTACCCACCCGGGAAGAATGACAGATGAAGGTGATGGACTACATGGAACTGGCGGAAATGACTGGCAGAATCCGAGACCAGGGAGAAGAGTCGGCGGAAGAAGATTGGAAGAAATTTAAAGTTTATTTACAGAAACATTGTAAAATTAAGGAATGTTAGAAGGATGTTGGAATGAAGTAATGTGGTTTTAGCAGAAATGCTATAAAGGATTAAGAAAAAACAGATTGTTAAATGGTGAAAGGAGGGAAAGTAAAGTTACATTATATTAAGATAAAATAGAGGACAAAAATTGGAAAAGATGGAAAGGACTTGCTGAAATAGCTAACTGAACTAGAATACAAAAAAGGGAGGTGTGAGGAGGTCAAGGAAACAAGCAAATGAAAGATAAGTTATGAGAAGATTCGTTGTATTTTTTATTTTTTTTATTTTTTTATTTTTTCTTCTTTTCCTTATTGTGATGTGATGTTCTGCTTTTGCTTAATATGCTGTTTTCTATTTTTTCTTTTTGTAACCTTTCAAATCTTAATAAATATTATTTTTTTTAAAAAAAAGAGATCAGAGGGAGAAGATTGGGAGGAGGTGCCGGATGCTGAAGAGGCTACAAGTCTTACTGAGCAGGAAGAGCCTGTGATATGGAGCAGTTGAGACTCTGAGGCTGAAGCAGAGGGGGCGGGTCAAGAGACTGCTGGAAGGGTCTAGAGGGGGGTCAAGAGACGGAATCCAGGGAGTCTCCTTCTCCTGCTGTGACAAGCTTCCCTTCTGCCTGATCTCCCAGACCTGGCAGAGTAATGAGAAGAGCAGAACAGAGGTCAGAGGTGCGCAGACACAGTTTGAGACCACTTGGGAAATATCTGGGAGATGAGAAGCCTTAAAAGGGGTGGAAGGCAGGGAGCTTCAGCCCTGGCAACTGCTCCATAGAGGCAAGATCTTCTGGGGAGTGTTGCTAAGACCACTAGGCCGAGTTGGATGTTCGTTTCCTTGAATAAACAGTTAACACTGGCAATGGAGTTCTGCTTTCTTTATTGCTGACCTGCATCTGACTCTAGCCCTGACACTACCTTCTTCTTCTTCTTTACATTTTTGACCTTTCCGAATTTCCATAAACACATATTTTATGTCCTTCCATAAAAACAGACTAATTGGATCTTTTTAAACAATCTGTAGTTCTGACACATTTATGTTGATGTAAAATTATTATGTGCTAGTTGATCCCAATCATTTGTTTAAATATATTTACATTTTAACAATCAAGACTAAAATTATTCTGTTCCCAAAGGCAAATTGTTCCTTTCCAGATTGTCCTCATCCTAAGGACTCATCCCTGCAGTTTAACTGGCTAACAGTCAAAATCATGTAACAGTTTGCCTGAAGTTGGTGACATTAACTGAGCACCTGAGGTAATGAAAATAAACGGTATGTCCTCTATTGTTCTGGCTGCTGTGCTTTCTCTTGACCAAGAACACTGGGGACATTTGAATGGCAGATCTCCAAGACTTACTTAGAAGTGTGGTTCATTTGATACTGTTGTGTTCTTCTCAGTGAAAAACAGCTCAAACATTTTCTGTTCTTGCCTTCTCCCTTCTGCAACCATTGTGTTAAATGTTGGGGAGGAAGGACAACATACACACGAGAGGGGGGGAGGACTGCAGATGATGGATGAAAGAAAAATGTTTGCTTTGAGGCAAAGAACTTGGATGATTTCTAAGTACAAAGTTCCAAGTTGTATTTTCCGTTACCCTCTCATGAATACTGAGGAACAGTGAACTTGATAGGTAATAAATTTCCCCAAACTATCCAGTAAACTTCATCGACAGGAAGATTTGTTTCTGGGTTTTCCATGGTAAAAGACATAGTGGTAGGACTTTACCGAAGAACTATATATGACTGCAAGATAGTCTCACAGGAGTACAGGGCACTAACCAAATTTACAAATAAACAGATTTATACCATGGGATATGCCTATTCTGCTTCCTTAGAATTCTCCAAATCTTAAACAATGTTGGCTGTTTCTTTGTTGCATGCTTTAGTGTTCGTCTGTGCCTGCTAGTTAGATGGATTCTGTAGTCATTTCCATGTGTTCTTTGAAAGGGGTGGGCATATGTCTCTCTATGTGTAATTCAGACACTATAATCCCATGGAATGAGCCCTATATACATATAGTTTTATGTGTGTTCTTGGGTTCCGACTGCCCTGAGATCTTCGGATGAAGGGCGGTATACAAATTTAATGATGATGATGATGATGATGATGATGTAACCATGAGGAGATTGGCGTGGGGACAGAATTGGTTGTTCCTTCAGATAGCTCAGTTGGTACAGCATGAGACTCTTAATCTTAGGGTCATGCGTTTGAGCCCCATGTTGGGTGAAAGATTCCTGCATTGCAGGGAATTGGACTAGATGATCCTTGTGGTCCCTTCCAAGTCTACAATGCTATGACTTTATGACATATTCAAAGAATGTCTGGGGTGGGGGAGAGACTTGTGTTACCATAGCTGCCTAAATGCCTGTGGGAAACACTCAAGCAAAACCGCTTCCTGTGATTTCAAGCAAAGTTCTATCGAGAAGCATTACTCTCTCCAACTGTGGAGGCAGAGCATAGCCATCATTGCTATTAGCCACTGATTGTCTCATCTGCCATGATTTTGTCTAATCCTCTTTGAGAGCCATCCAAGTTGTTGGGCATTGCAGCCTCCTATGGGGGCGACTTCCATAGTTTAGCAGCATGTTCATTGTGGTTCATGTTCACTACGGTCCATGTTCAGTCTCAAAGTTTGCTTTGTGCTCCTGAAGTTGTTGCTGCTTTTTACCTCTCACAAATAGTGGTCCTTTTGGGTTGCATTGTTTGTGCTGCACAGCAGGTAGGATTTTGAGTAATCTTGGCATTCTCGTGGATTTGAATGGCATTCTCGTGGATTTGAAATTAAAATTTGGAATTGAAAACAGAATTGAAATTTAAGCCTTGTACGATTTCCCCTCTTTGATCTGACATGTATAATGAGGTTTATTAATAGGTTGGAGTAAGACTCTTAATCTCAGGGATATGGGTTCAAACCCCACGTTGGGCAAAAGATTCCTGCATTTGCAAAGGGTTGGACCTGATGAAGAAGAAGAGTTTGGATTTGATATCCTGCTTTATCACTACCCGAAAGTGTCTCAAAGCGGCTAACAATCTCCTTTTCCCTTCTTCCCCCACAACAAACACTCTGTGAGGTGAGTGAGGCTGAGAGACTTCAGAGAAGTGTGACTAGCCCTAGGTCACCCAGCAGCTGCATGTGAAGGAGCGGGGAATCAAACCCGGTTCACCAGATTACGAGTCCACTGCTCTTAACCACTACACCACACTGGCTCTTTGTGGCCCCTTCCAACTTTATAGTTCTGTGAATCTGTGAAATAATTGTGCTCCTCAAGTGGGCCTAAGACTTACATTCCACAAACTTGTTCCTCCAGTCTCCTAAACTGGTGCTGTATTACTTACTTCCAAAGCTTGGTGTGGCAGGGGAGTAAGGAGCAAAGCCTGCTAATCACAGAAAGGGACAATCCAGCCTAAGTTAAACACTTTGAAGGCCCATTGATTTTAAATGGGGATGATTTAAGCACTCTGCCACTGGAATCAATGAGACATAAATGTAGTTAAATTCTACCGCTTTATGCCGTGTATTCCCTTTGGCTAGAGATGTCCCTGACCAGTTCAGCACTCCGAAAGAACATGCCAAATCACTATACACTGACATTAACTTTGGGGTTGTTTGTTTTTTTCTAGAGGGATTAATCTATATAATCCAACACTGGAGCTACCTGAGTGTGAGCTAACACCACACAATAAACCACTGAGCTCCTTCAAATTTATGTAAGTTAAACTATTTAACTTAAAACACAGATAGTGCATAGTGCAATTAAGCATTCCATTTTTAAGAATAGTCTTAAACTTATTCATTGATAAGAAATGAATTATTCTCTTTGCTCAATCCTATCCCATTAATACAGCAGTGGTTCCAAATTATACTTTAATGCTTTTAACAAATATTTTCTTTCTCTCACCCTTGTGTTGCTCAAACTGGTTGAGTGGAGGTTTGGAAACGATTTATGCGCATTCAAACATCATTAGTTGTATGCACAGCTTTTTATATTTATAGTTTAATACCCACAATCAGTTTTGTTGCTGGATTCTTGCTGCAATAAAAGCAGACCATTAATGCTTTTAAACATTAAATAGTGAGGATGCTGCATTTATTGAAATAAAGGAAATTATACTGCCTTGGTTTC